TGACTGAAGGCCGTTGCAGCGAGGTTGCCGCGCCGCGCGCCCGCTGCAGCGAGCGGACCGAAGACCAGCGGCGGATCTGCGGCGGTGGAGACGGTGGTGAGGAGGGCGGTGGCGGTGAGGAGGTCCAAGGACAGTGGCAACGGAGGTGACTTGTGGGTGATGCTAGAGGAGTGCTGTGTGCTTCGGAAAACGCAAAGAAGAGCATGGAAGGCTCTGAGGGGGTAGGACGCTTGCGCCGCCCGCTCCGGAGGCCGCATTCAGCCCGGAGGGGACCGCGGGAGCGCCCAGTGGCGGCTCGGAGAGAGCCGGGTGTGTCTGCGTAGTGGCCTGCGCACTGCCTTGGGGCAGGCCGGCGGCGAGGGCGGTGGAGGTGACGGTGGTGACGAGGGGGGGGCGGCCAGCTGGGGCGGTGGGGCGGCTGGAGGGGAGAGGGTGAGAGCGGCAGCATGCTGGAGGGCGGCGGCGGCGGGGCGGGAGGCGGAGGCGAGGGTGGCGGCGAGGGTGGCGGCGAGGGCGGCGGCGAGGGTGGCGGTGAGGGCGGGGGCTAGCGTCGGAGGGCGGGCTCGACGGGTTGCTCCACTCAAGGATTCGCACGACCGCTCGGTGGCTAGAAGCGCATCACAACCGACACGCCGCAGCTCCACAGCAGGGCGGGAGCCGCTCCGAAAGGGGAGGGCTGCACCGCTGAGCCTGCCAGGGCCTTGTTACGCGGGGCCAGTCGAGGTGCCACCGCCACCGACAGTGCAGCCAGCCGACCCGCGCCCAGAGGAAACCTCCGAGCTGCGAGCCAGCCGCGCTGCGGGGTGAGGCGCACGAGGCGTCTGCCCATCGGGAAACCATCTGCTTCTCACACACAGCCGCTGCCCAGGCGGCCCCATCCGTTCCGGAGGGGCACAGCGAGGGAGCTTTTGCGTCGGGGGAGGGTGAGTCCCCGCGGCGGCACGTGCTGACTAGGCGTCCACGTAACCGAGACTGGAGCCGGATCGCGCAGTGGCGACCCAACCCCGCCCAGCACCGCCTCACACGCACCAGCCGCTCAGTCAACCTACCGGGCCGCGGCTCAAACCGTAAGCAAAAGTCTGCTCCGGCGAACCGCGCCGAGGGAGCACCGCGCCGGCTGCCTCGCGGCCGCCGTTCTGCGCGTCTCCTCACCCATCCACCTGCTTGGGTGGCCGAGAGGGCGGTACCGACCGCGCGGGCAGCACCGCCAGACAAGTCCCAGTGTGTCCGCTCCGGTGCGCGTACTCGCGTTTGTATTCGCCGCAGAAATGCGTATTCCTCTAAGTGGTACGCCGGAGGGCGCCGCTTTGATTGGGTGAGACCATTACGAGCCGAGGCGCGGACACACTGGGGAAACTGCGGCCCCAGTCATACCGATTCGCCCCGAAGCCGAATGGAATGGGACTGGGATGCAAAAGCGAACCGAATGCGACGTTTTGACTAGGAAACGCGCACACCGACTGCAAACAAAGCCAAACACACCCGAAACGAATCGACTTGCGCCCCGCGGAGCCCGGAGACGGGCTCCGGGACCGGGGCGGACGGCACACCGACCTCGCCGCACCACACCCCGCCGCCCCGCCTCGGTGCACGGGACCGGGACGCCCCCGC